TTTATATATATATAAAAATATAATCACCTTCATACCCTCATCCATCTGACGTCACTCATGTGAATAAGGAAAGCTGAAATCAAAACAAGAATCTACATGGACAACCGAGTCTTAAAACGTTTGAGCGTAGCGGGCCAAGTCAGCACCCATGAACATCGTGCACAGTGCCTTTGACTCAGGGATCATTACAGATGTACCCAGATGTACACGCTAAAAACAGGAGAGGCCGTTAACTTGCCTTTATACAGTACACTGTTAGCTCTAGACTGCTCGCTGGGCTGAATTCAGCAGTGATTTATTTCCCATGTATTGAAAGAAACTTTTCTTCTATGGCTTCAACAGCATAAAGGGAGAAGGGACGTTCCCACTCTTGCCTAGTGAAAGAGGACAGCTATCCTACAAGCCAAACTCTAACTAGCTTGTTCAGCAACTGTCAGGAACTATCACTTTTGCTAGGATGCAACAGAGAACAAGACCTAGCTCATTTTTGTACCTGGTCAAAAGGTAGACAAACAGTTAAGAGTTAAAAGAAAAATAATACAGTAAAACTTCATTTTGTCACTGACTTAAAGACAAACACTTTTGAAAACATCCCGGTACAGGTGTGTTCAAGGAAGGGTTTACTCTTCAACCGTTTTCTAGAGCTTTTTGGTTTTAAATTCTGGTATAGTCTCTTGTGTCAGGTCTTAAAGTCTGATTCTTTGAATTACAAAATAACAGACCAAGTAAGCAACCACAGTTAGGTCATCATGAAAATGCTTGCTTTTTTTATATTGCATGGTAGATTACCTGTGCAAGTCTGTGGGAAACTAGGTTCTAAGTGCTGCTGCACTATTCAGCGTGGTCAATATTTAGAAGAAGGATTGATAAATACTCTGTTTTCTGAACCAGTGGTGTTACAAAACCCCTGAGATAGATACACAGGAAAGAAATATTATTGTATTAACATGAGTCTTGCTACCTACTCAAGCAGAGTCAGGATTTGCATTTCTGTGCTAAGTTTCCAGCCCTTACAACCAGTTTTTAATGGCAGAGAACAGTTATTTGCAGGCAAAACAGAGGGCAGGCTGAAATACGGCCTGAACATCCAAAAGCCACTATGCTGCTTTATGCCAAAAAGTCAATCTTTTTCAGCAGGGACTGTCACAGTAAGATAAAACATTGCCCCAAGGTCACCGCAGTTGGAATTCCCATCAGGAGGTTTTCATACCTGCCCTCAGATGTGTCTTGTGAGTACATGTTTCAGAGAAACAAAAAGACTACATTTCATTAGACAGGTAGAAGAGGTATCTCCTGTTGCAGGGTCAGTACGTGGGGTTTTCTAAAGTAAGGCAGCGGCGTGGAGGGATGAGAGCTGTCTGAAAAGGGGAAACCGTTGTTTGAACTCCAAAATACTGGCTGTGATTTTTGTAATGTGCATACCTTGAGTAGTAACTGTAAGTTTAAACAGGGTATTTTCAAAAATAAGCACTATACCTGGAGTGTATCCTCTCCAAGAATTTCATGACGTTAATGAAACAAACTTTAGCTCGTGAAAGTGGGCAGTGACTAAAGACCTCAGAGTCTCAAATGTCTCTTAGAGCAACTCCGCTTATTTTATTTATTGGTACTAATCTTTGCAAAGAACGTGCTGCCAATTTATAGGGAACTGTCATTTTCATTTCAAGTCGGTACAAAATTTAAAAGCACCAAACCCCTCAAAAGTTTGAACCATTACAGGAAGGGGAAGAAAAATAGGAAGGGGATACTTCAGTGGTTTTTTTAAAGCTATTATTTTTATTAATCACACATGATAGGTTAAAGAAAGATAAAAATAAAAAAAACTGCAAGACCATACATAGTCCACCAAGGAAGGAGGAGGCACACCCCAAAGTAGGCAGGGGATGAGTTCTGTTCTTCGTTTTTTCCTAGCTGTGAGTTATGACCTCTATAGAGAGATGTGAAGTAATGTTAGCTATGGCACATAATTGGCAAAGTATGTTGTATTTTCCATCTTTATATTTTCACAATCATATTTCAGCTCATGTCACTGCAGATAACTCCCTCTCTGACCCTTTGGCTTTAAATAGCAAAAAATACAACCCATGTATTCCAGTGAGATAAATAGAAATTTGTCTTTTTTATTTCACAGCTTAGTCAATTTATGAGGGGGACTGCTAGGGCGGGCCAAGCTATTTAGAAACACACTTAGATCCCGAGAGGTACCGAACTGCTGAGCACCTACCGGCTTCCTGCAGGTAAATCCACTCTGTGTCTTGCAGGCTTAGGTCCTGTTTCCCATGCAACATCAAGGTATTGTGCTTCTTTTTAAAACTAAGTTCTCATTTCTAATCGGTGTGAATGAAGCTTTTTCACCAAGTGTTCGAATTTTAAGATTAAACTTAAAAAATATTAAGTTAGCTAAATTAAAACCAGAATGCAGACCACTCTCTGCAGCTGATGCGCGAGCAGGCACTGGCTGCTCAGCCGAAGCCCGGTCTTGCCGACGTTTATGCGCGAGAGCAACGAAACGCACGTGAGTGCAGGAGTAGCGCTCCGAGGTGCGCACGAGTTGCACGTAGAATTGTGCGCGGCGTCAGGAGAGCCGCCCGTGCCGGTAAACAGTTATGTTTGCACTTACCTGTGTGTCGTGGTCCTTTTCTGAAGTTTCTAGTGCTCAGAGTTCGGCTCTGGTGTGCGTTCGGCCTTCGCTTGCTCGACCCAATGAGAAGAACGTGTCATTCGAGAGCTGAAAGGACAGTTCTTGTACACATGTAGCTAAGTCTCCACCTTTCTCCACAACTCCTGTAGGTCTCGGGCGTCCGTCATTCTTTCTTCTGCCAGTTTACTCATCGCAAGTGGTTCTATGTGCACCCTTGCAAGTCACTGGATGGAAAAGCCTCCACAAAAACCTCATAATTTGGCCCAGCACTGGGATCAGATGTGGACCAATCCTCCTACAAAGATAACTGTTTTGTTCATTGTATGAATTTTTAAATTAAATTTTAACTTTTTTCCAAATATTTTTTTAAAAAATCATAGATTTAAGACCAGTTGCAGTTTAAGGATGGGTTCAGCGGGAACTGGCTGCCAGAAGATTTAATTCCTGGGTCTCCACCCAACGCATCTAGCGAACGGGTCAGAAAATTGGTCAAGAGACAGTCTGAGTAGCTCGTGTCAATGAGTACATTTTATTTAAACTCTCTCCTGGTCTTCTCTGGTCTCACTGCTGAAAACATAGTAGTTTATTCTTCCAGCAACTGTCTGATCTCCCTAGCCATCTAGAGAAGGTAATGACTGCAGATTAGGTTTTTCCACACTCTTTTAGTTACACAGAAGAGTGAAACCCTTGATGTTACCATCAGCCTACTAAACTACCTATTTTTTCTAGGAAAGAAGTGTTTTGCTTATTCTGGTCATTAGCCGAAGCGGGGTCTGCCTTTCATATGGTGTGATGCATTGCTGCCAGTTCTGTTCTTTCCTTACTCTATGTCTTGTACCATACCTCCTGCTTTGCTAACTTTCTGTGTCC